ATAAAAAAAAAATCATATAATAATTACTTTTTAAAAAGGTTTTTAAAACATTATAAATTTATTTTATTGTTTAAATGATTTTTATCAATTTAAATAAATTTATACATTACAAAAATAAAAACTTTTTAGAAATATTTATTATATTTCTTTTTTAATCTTGAAATTTCTACTTAATAACTCAATTATATCGTATCCTCAACTTAAATCAATGTTGAAATAATGACTTCTACAATAAACATTTTTTTATTTCCTATTTTAAGCGATGGATGATATATATAAATTTTGAACAATTCTTCTTCATCTTAAAGACGTTTTTCTTTTTTCGTTAAACTTATTTAAAATTACTCTTAAATTGATTAAAATTTAATTGATTGCTACACAAAATAATCTAGTTACTTTTATAATATTTTATTGTTCAAATTTTATTTTGATTTACAAATTAAAACAATTTAATGTGAATTAACTTTTAGTTTTCTTGCTTAATTATAAAGTATATCTAAATCATAAATATCTTCTAAACAAATATCAGATAACAATAATAAATCAAATCTTTTTATATTAAGTTATTAAATTAATTTTTTAGAAATTCTTTTTTACCCTAGCAATCTTTAGAATTTCGAAATTTCATCATCACAATCAAATTTAACAATTAATAGTTTTAGGCTATCTATTTTGATTCTAAATTTCCAATAAAATTTATCAGCTTTGTCTTATTCTTGTTTATTCAATGGAATAATTGAAAATTAAAATAATCTATTTTATTTCTTAAAATTTTCAAAATAATAATAATAATGTAGAATCATTTTCATATCTCAGATGTCAAGTGAAGGTATCTAATTAAGAGATTATTTTTCAAATGGGAGAGGTGTATTTTAGAGAATAGTGCCTTTTCGAAAGGGAAAAAGGCAGTACAGTTAGCCAAACGTACCCATGGATTATGAGGTAATAAGGCTCATACTTCCCTCTTAATCAGCCCTCCTTTTCTTATGGTCCTATTTCTATTTTGTCTCCTAGGAGTTACCCTTTTTCTGATAAATTCTACCATTTAATCAAATCTTTTTAAAAAATATAAACCTTTTCCTAATGGAGACACACTATGGATTATTTCACCTTGATTCTACCTCTTCTCAGACTTTAATTAGTCCGTAGAAGAATCTATTTGTAGGGTGTATTCTTTTATTCAAAAAAAGTTTGTTAATTTTTTTTCCCATGAGAGAGTTTTGAGGTTTACATTGTTTCGGAGCCTTCAAAACGATAATTACAGACTAAAATCATATCATTTAACTATCCAGCACCGTAATAATTTTCCCAACCCTCTGGTCTACTTGTTAATTTAATTTTTTCAATTTTCAAAATTCTCTCTTATTGAAAACTTTTTGTAAAAATGGCGCAGAACCATCTTTTTCTTTCCAAATCACCATTTTTGTTATTCCCACTTTATACAAGATATTGTGGAGTCAACTTAAAAAAGTGACAAACAAGAATAGTAATCTTTCCATTATTTAATTCTGGATTATAAGTACGCAAAAATAGATGATATGTATTTTTTTATCATATTAAACCTATTTACTTTTGTGAATGGAATTGTTATCTAAAATTTAAACAAAATCACAATCTTTATAAAATTCTTTGCTTCTGTAACCAATTAATTTAAATGAAGCAGATAAAATTATGAATATATATTTACTATTCTTCATTCATAGGCAATGAACCCTTAGGAACTAATACCATCCAAAATACTATAAGTTTTTCTCTTATAGAAATTCTTTAATGTTTAAATTCATTCTTTAATTACCAACATTAAATTTCTTTAATATGATTTCCATTAGTGATTTCATTGATAAAGATAAATTTCTTTTATTAGGTGCATAAGCTTAAATAATCTATCGCGTACTGATATTTACTATTAATTGAACCTCGATCTTTTTTTAATGGTAATCGATAATAAATACTTGAATATTTTTTCATTATTATTTAAAATTATCTGAGTGGTAGTGCTTCTTTAGATTTTTTAAAATGCAATAAAAATCCATATGAATTAGATTGCTGTTAGTTAACTCATGAGAAGTTTTTTATTTTATATATTATTTGATCCAACTGATTTGATAGCTATTTAAATTAAAATATATTGATTCTAAACAATTTTCATCCATCCATTTTCTTTTTTAAATAATATGCTAAAATAGAATAATAATTATCTGCTAATTAAAGGGTTCTTTGGTATTTGTCAGTTAATTTGTGTTATATTGAATTGTTGATTATTCTTATTTAATTTGTTAATTATTATGATAAAAGATGTCAGATAGTGCAAATCAAAAAATTGACTTAAGCTATTCTAATAAAATTTGATGCACAAAAAATCAGAAATTTAAAAAATGAATTTATAAGTCATTTTTCATAGAAATTGCTATTCTCGTATATGTTTTTACTCTCAAATTTTATGATCCCCATTTAATAATCCAATTGAAAATTTATAAACTTCGTTCATATAATCCCAACTTTTCCATCAAATTTATGCTATACTAATTTAACTCAATAAATATTTTTTCAGCTTCAATCGATTATTGTTTAAACATTTAATTTAGTTTTAACAGTTCTAGTTTTAATTTGATAAATACCTTTTCCATAGTGATTTAACAAATTTTACAAATAATTTTTTGTTAATTCATCATTATTATTATTGATATTAAATATATTTATTTTTTTTTTTGTTTCTTAAATGATTTTAATAATTATGATAGAAAAATGGAACTATTCAGTTAATAGTTTTAATAGGTTTTTTTCCTATTAAAATTTAAAAAATCGAAAATATCCTTAAATAATTTCTCCCCATTATTCATATTTTTTATAATGCGAATTTGCGTTCTAAAGAATGCAAATAATAATAATAATAAAATTAAATTTATGAATAAATTAAAAAATTTTTATCCAAAAAAACACTGTTTATGGTTGTGAGATGGAAAAAATAAACACTATTTTGAATGAAAAAATTATTAGTAAATAAAAATTATAAAAAAAATGATTTTTAGTCTGCAATAAGCTCCTTTAAATCTAATCTTACACAAAATTCAAAAATGTTATTGAGTAAAAAGAAATAAGTAACTATTATTGGATTTGTATTTATTTTTAAGTTCTAAAGCCTGATAAAAATAATTATTAGAACAACTTTTTCATAAATTATTTAAACAAAAATGAATTGATGGTTTTCATTGTATTTTCTTCTTTTTTTTATTCTTTTATGTATTTTAGAATCTATTAATCATTAAACTTTCTAATTTCATTCAATTTTTATTTAATATGTGGGGAAAAAAGCTTCATTAATTTTATAAAAGTTAATATATTGTCTTAATATAAAATCTCAAAATAAAGCTCCAGATTTTATAATATATATATGAAAATTTTTGTGCATTTTTTATTTTAAATATTGTATGAAATTAATTGATATCACATATAATCAATTCAAAAATAACTTTTTGATATATGATAAATCTTCTAATTTAATAATTATCAGTTTTTATTTTTAAAAAGGTTTGTAATTCTTTCGAGCTGAAACCATCGATTATGTTATATTTTTTTTTATATGTTATAAAACCAAATGTCCCTAATAAATTTAAAACAGGATTATTCAAATTATTAAAAAAATAATAATTTTTACTTTGATAATAGATTCATAACTATATATTGAATAGTAGCAAGTTAAGTAGTGTAAATCTTGCGGATTATGAGTATGATTCTAAGTAAATTTATTTAACTAACTTGCTAGTAAAATTAAATCACATTTTGATTAATTTTTATCTTTTTCTTTTAATTTAGACTGAAAAAATGGTAAAAGTTTTATCATCAATATTAATATATGTTGTTAAATTTTTAATTCGACCAATTTTTACCATTATTTTTTTTAAATTTCATAACTAATCCTTGACAGAAGTTGTAGTATTCTAATTAATTAAGATTTGGTAAAATCATGCATTTAAGAATTAAAAACGAAAATTTTCAAACTCTTATATTTTGCATTATGCATTTCCTTTTGTTTGAAATTATAATAAATTTAAATTCAATTAAAAATTTAATTGATTACAAAAATTTCATCTTTTATGAATGATTTTACAGATTTTAATAAAAAAATTAAATTTATAATATT